AGTGAGTCTCTCTCTCTCTCTCTCTCTCTCTCTCTCTCTCTCTCTCTCTCTCTCTCTCTCGCTTCACACACACGAACACATACCTGGTATTCCGCTTCTGCTTCCGCCCGTCTCTCCGCCTCTTTTCTCAGAGCCACGTCATAAAAGCCCTACACACAGATGCAGGCAAGGACAGAAGCAGCAGCAGCAGCAGCATGAACAACAACCGACATTAGTGGGAGTGTGTTTCAAGCTTACGCAGCACAAAGATAGGAGATGAGCAGCAGCAGCATCTTTCAGCAGTACTCCAATGATTATTCGCGTTCCACGGCGCGTGTGCGGCATTCAAGGCCAGCGCAACATGTGAGCTTCTGGCTGGGAAGTTCATGAACAAGAGAGGGCCGCGCGGCTGGCGCGGGAAGCTGCTCTTTAAGTACAACGAAAACTGCAGCACGCACACCTAAACCGGACTGACACCCTGAACAGGCTGCCAGCAACAGACTGCCCCTTCCATTCGACGAGGAGTGCAATCCTACGCGTGTTTCGTTGAGAAACATCGACCACGATCACGCGAAAACTCGAAGGGGGAAGGCGAAGAAATAGAATTCCTGTGTTCATCTTCCCCCTGTGTGACCCCGGCTGGTGTAGACTTGCGCCCATAATGAAGAAAGGGGCGTCTGTGTGTTTCATATTGCTGGCACGGACCGCGCTAACCAGCTGACCAATGAAAACACGGCATTCGTATTCAAATACAGGATACAAAGTTTGCGTGTGTGTGGGTACCATACATTCTGGACATAATGTTGTGCACCTTTCCTTTCGGCGTGTTTTCTGGGTGCGTCAGCGGGTCAGCCGGGGCCCCACAGGTGGCTATTGCGTCAGTACCTCTTCACACGGGTTTCAAAAATACATCGAGGGGATGTGTTGTCCCTCGTGACAGGATCGGATTTTGACGTACAGTCAGCAGCACAGAGTAGTGTCTATCGGTAGTCAGAAAAAAGCAACACCTCGGCATCGATGGATTGCACACCGTTGTTGACGTGAGTTGCACGGTATAGCCCCCCAAGAGAAAGTCTTGCTGCATCGCCGGGTATAGCCCTGGCGACAAACACATCCCGATGCCGTTGTGCAATCCGGTCAGTCAAAATGCGGAGGTCTCCTTGTCTCTCGCTTGAACAATCGATCGAGTCAGTACGATTGGAACAACCATCACTTGCAACAGCCAAGTTTTGAACACGCATCACTCCAGCAGAATTTGACAAGAAAATCCTTCATTGCACGTGGCCTACACTCGGTGACTGCAGCTGGAGTCTAGCGGGAGGCGAAACACTGCTGTTGCGCCTACGCGGATCTGCTGACAATCAGGAGGCAGTGTCAACGAGAAAAAAATGCGGCGAGATTTTGCCAGAGGCTTTAGCCCTCACCGTGTTGAGCATGAACAGCTCCATGCCGGCTCCAACAACGAAAGACGCCGGCACAAACTGAAGCATTACGGTGGCGAACTTGCTGCTGCTCATTGTCGCTGACAGCGCCACACTGCTGCTGTACGAATAGCCTGGGCAAGTCTGAAGTCGCAAGTCATCACCGGAGAGGCACCGCAAAATCGAAGCATTACTCAACAAGGTCCACTGGCTATTCCTTCCATCGTGTCCCCTGGTCGGCTGGTGCGAAAAAGACACGCAACAAGAGCAACAGGCAATACAGCCAGGAGAGTTCCCATGGCGCAGCAGCTGCGAACGGGCTTGCGGAAGGCCGCGGAGGCCGCAGGTGGGCACTAGTTAGGAGGGCATTGCTACAGTTGCAGTTTCAAGTTCTCTTAATGACTGATTTCTGGAAGATGAGGTCCACAAAGGTTGTTGCTCCTTGAGCGTGTCAGTATTTTTTTGCCAAGTGACGGGAGTGCAGTTCAACAGCAGTTTCGCTGCACAGCAGAGAGCAGTGAGCAGCAGCACTCCTCTGGGCATGGAGCGCCTCTGTCTCTCGACGAACACCCCCTTGGTGCCGTTGTCGTATGTGAATGTGGAATCGCGCTAGAGCGTCTCAACGTCTGTTGGGTAAACTACGCTACCTGCCCCGAGTTGAGTTTCGCCGACTAGCCGGGAGCTTCGGTCAGCGGTTCGATCGAAGTGCAACCTTGGTGCCGTGTTTGTCGAAACGCGACTCGCTCCCACGCGTTGCAAGAAAGTAAAGGCAGCGCGGTATGATGCATCTCGCATCTCGCGCTGCACTGAAGTGTGCGCGTTGCACAGATAGGTTTGATCGGCCGGCGGCGATCAATCGCGATGGCTTGGCGTGCATCGCTCGCAAGTTTGTGCGGTGCATTCTGCTACACTCCGTCTCTTCGAACGAGTATGCAGACGGGCACACGGCGGGACGTTATACTTGGAAGTAGGGTAGACACCGCTTCATTCACCTGCTGGCGTTTGACCGTTCGTTTCTTCTCGCGGGGAGAGGTGGCTTGACCGAACATGCTGCCATCGGAGCGGTCTCAAGTCCTTCTTCCGTCGTTCGGCATCCTTCTTGCGTCGAGGAAATAATCTATGAAGCGGCGAGATCATCACGCCATTGGTCAATGGTCGCCCTGACTTTACAACGGTCCATTCACTGCTGTTAATGCAACGGAGCAGTAGCGTGCAGCCTACAACACATACATTCCCTAACAAAACAGAGGGGACTTCAGCAGTACCAGCCAATGTCCCGGACCAGGCTAGCAAATTCATAACACCGAATGCTGTTAAAATGTTGGAAAGATGCGATAGTACGGAAGACAACGACCTCGACGTGTTGTCGTGGCTTCTCGGCAACCCATGAAAACGAATACCGTACATGACACAAGATAACACACCCCCTGGACCGATTTTTAAAGGTCGATTACTCCACGACGAAGAGGATGCATAAACGTTCAACGCCGCCGTTTTCGGCGCTGTGAACTGTTCCTGCAGTTGAGAAATCGAGCTTCAAAAGTTGGTCAAGGGGGTGTGTTATCTTGTGTCATATACGGTCGTCGTCTTTTTTATTTTTTCAATATGACCCAACGAATCCATCTCTATGTAGGAAACAGTCCAAAGCACGCAACATGTACACATACATACCATGGTTGCATGGTAAGTATCACGTGTTGCCAGAAGAGGTGCACGCCAGAAGAGGTGCAGTAGAGCAGCATGTAGACATTATTTAGAACATGCTACCACAGGTTGCATAGTATAGATGTCTCGTGTAGTTGGCAGAAGCGGTCCTTGTAGTAGAGCAATGCAGAGGTCTGGTTTGTGCCGTACCAGCATCACTGCAGCAGCAACAGCAGTAGCTGCAATGTTCCGGTCTTGGCTCATTTCTGGACGATGGCACCTGCGGACAGAGGGGCGTCTCCGGGCAAGCGCCGCGAAACCACGACCACCTACATCACCACCACATGCACCTGCACCTCTCACCTCTTCCGTCCGAGCCCCGTCTCAAGCACTCTGCTTCGCTCTCCTGTCCATGCGGCGGCATCGCTTGCTGGACCCCCCAACGTAGCTATGTATTGGTAGTGGGCATATAAAGAGCAGGAAGGGGTACCGATAGGGTAGGGAAAACATTTTTGATCCCTCCTTGAAATATAAGAAGGAGCGATAGGCTATGGTGATCAGTCCTGTGGGAACCACTCTGTCCTCTCGGGGTCGATGGTCTTGCAACGAAGGCATGCGAATCATGACTACGCCCTCCCCCCAAAGACACAGTAGTCCGTGTATGTGCCGGTATGTGTCCAGAGATTTTGCCGGCACTATACCGGATGTTCAGAGTACGGAACGAGTTGGTATTTCAGTTGTGCGAGCAGAAAACACCGGCACTGCTATACAGGGCCCACTGCTGTATCAGGACAACAGTGGAAGGGTGTATGTTTTTTTCAGTCTTTGCAGTGAGCTGGAGAAAACAAGTCTTGGCAGTGAGTGGGAGAAAAACCGGCTGGGTATGTACTGGTTTTGTTTAGACACTATTTAAGCCTTGAGCTTGGAAATATTATCAATGACGCCGCCACCTGGTCCTCTATTTCAACACGACTCTCTTTGCTGTTCGTCGCGTCAGGAGGCGTAGCCCACCGGTACCGCCTGGCGCTGACATCTTCGACCACGAGTTCTCCTGCCGCAGGGGCGGCGGCGGGAAGACATTGTTACCGATGTGTCCCCGTAGCGACTAACGGGGTGGCCGCTAGGAGGGACTTGTCGACGACTCCTGCCTCGGCTGCGACGTCCCCCGATACGTTCATGCAGGGGTCTAACAGGTTGGTTAGTTTTGGCCGGCCTCTCGACGTTATTGTCTGGGTTTTCTCGTTCACGGTAGTTCGTAGGATCCCATTTAATCGCCCACCATTGGCAGTGGAAAATAGTGGGGGAGCCCCCGCCCCGCCTAAAGAAGCTAGGGGGCGTGGGGGGGTGAGGATGGTACGCAAGCTTGCCTTCTTTCACGGCTGCAAACAAGAGGGGGCGTTCGGAGACGCGGGAGAATCACCAAGAAGACGTGCGGAAAACTAGATTCGAGGTCAAGGTAGCACGCTGTGTTGAGCGTGGGCGGTCGATGCGCGTGCGCTTCTTCCTCGACTGTGCCCGGAGCGCGTTGCGGCCTATCTTAGAAACCGTTGAATGACGCCACGTCTGCCTTTTGTGGAGGTGTGACGTTTTACATCAGTAAATTTAGGGAAAAAAATATTTTGTTGGCAACAAATTTTGATCCGCTTCGTCGGACCCGTTCCCACTCACTCGTTTCGTGGTTACCTTGGGTTACCTCCAACGGAAGCACAGGTACGCAAGCGCCCTTTGCGCCGACTCAAAACGGTTTTTCGTGCGATTGGTGACAGGTACATTGGGCAGGGGGGCAAAGGAGAGAGAGACGGAGACGGAAAAAAAATGAAGGCTGCAGTACCATTTCTTGTGTTGAGTCTCCAGCGTACAGTGCTGTTCCTTTCTTGCGTGTGGCGGCATCGCATACCTTCATCCGCCACCGCAGCTTTTTCTACGTGGAATCTTCGTGTGTTGCGTGTGCCGTTCGGACAGTCGTGTGCGCCATGGTCTGTCATGTGACCTACAGTTATCGCCCGGGAATAAGAAACAGACCTTGAGGAGGCAACAGCTCAGATATTGGCGAGAAACGACACAAGTCGACGAAGGAACACACCACACCTCAGCCGTGGATCCTACACTTGACTCTGTGTAATGACCTGTACCTCGACGGTGGTGCCGAAATCAGGAAGTCGAGCTTCGACCCCAAATGATTGACGTTTCTTCAACGCGGGCGCTGACTGCTGTTTCGTGCCGTGGCGTAACTAACGCGCCGTGGGTGGCGGCAGCTTGTACGTGGAAGAGATGTACGAGGCGTGGAAGGTGGACCCCAGCAGCGTGCACAAGAGCTGGGACGTCTACTTCCGCCACTCGGACGCCGGCAAGGACGCCACGGCGGCGTTTACGGCCCCGCCCCGCGTGCTCGAGGTATCTTGGTGTATCACTCGATGCTGTAGTGTTTGGTTACATTCATGCGGGAGCAGTCTTTGCGGGCAATGCTTTACACGGAGGGGGGACATACCCATGTTTTCAGGGCTCAGTTGTTGTACAATTGACCACGCGTTCTCGGCAGGAATGAGCTTGATTCCCACGAGACCGATCACCGGGTGGCCGATCGTTCCTTCCTACTTCTGTGGAATCGGGGGGGCAGGGAAGGGTGAAAGACAGGGAGAGCAGAAGGAGGGCTCGTGAAAGAACCATACGGAGCTTGCTACTTCCAAACGGTACACCGAGACAGTTGTTCGAGAGTAATGGGAGAACCGGCGGCCCTGCGTTAGTCGAAGAAGGAAACGGGTTCGTACCCACTCTGTCGTCCCGTTCGTTTGTTCGGGCGAACTTAGGACGTTTTGACGTTTCATGTCGCCTCTTGTTGCGTCTGGTTCTGTGCGGGTATATCTCTCCTCGTGCCCAAGGTGCCGTCGATGTCGGCGTTGCCGCCTGGCGTGGCGGCAGCCCCGTCCGTGGGAGAACAGTCGGACTCTCTTGGCGTCTCCTACCTCATCCGCGCCTACCAGGTGAGTGTCGCGTTTGTTGTTGTAGTCGTTGTTGTTGTTGTTCGATCGTCGTTGTGGTCTACGGCGTATTTTGGTCTGTCGCTGTTGTCGTCGCTGTTGGTGGCGGGGGCGGTGGTGTTGCCGGTGTAGGCTAAGGGTTATTCTTGTCTTTTGTTGTTGGAGTTGGCGGTGGTGGTGTCGATTTGCTTGATCGTCGTTGTGGTCAAACGCTTAATTTGGTCTTTCTGTGGCAACACGTTCACCGGTGTTGCTACGGGTGTGTTGGATCGTCGCCTTTGTTGTTGTCCCCGCAACACGGGGCGGGGCTTGCATCGCAGCGTCGAAAGTTGCAGCCATGCTCCTGTCTGATGAGTGTTTCATGGCTCTGGAGTAAATTCGCCAACCAACCACGCTGTCGCGGTAACAACCCTTGAAAAACTACCCCCTGCTCCGCCCTCTCGAGGACGCGTGGACAACGGTCTATCAGCCAAGACATGCGAAACATGGTTACCCGCCATATCCCCTCCCCAAACACTACG